GTGGTTATTGTACATATTTAAATAGATTTCTTCAAATTAGAGCTATGAATAATTTTCTTTGTCAACCTTTAATCCAAAGTAATGTAAAACGCTCATTACGGGATCAGACAAACACGTGTATATTTTTACAAATATCACAGAAGTGAACGGAATGGTGTAACAATAATAAAAAGATGATTAGAAATGGATAAAGTAGTTCTGTTTATCACATAGAATTTGCAGGATGATTTACTTCTTTTTAATGTTACAAACTTTAGAAATTTCTGGCCAGCTTTTACAAGCACACAAGTGTTACATGTGAAGATAAACGGACATAAGACATTAATATTCTATGAGGATAGATAAATATAGATAGATCTTGGAGCACATGGCCGTACAAGAGTATGTACACACTCCCAGCTGCTCTCAGACCCTGATAGTGACATTGCAAAGTGAAACTTCCATTGCTCATTCTTGGGTGAGCTGCCCTCATGGGTTAATCTCTTAATGTGACGCCACAGCACGCCAAGGACCCCCCAGACATGCCTACACCTCCATCATAACAATAACGTTTGTCCTTGAAGAACATGTGAGAGTTTGCTTTGTAAAACCTTCCAACCTGCAACTTTCGTGTCTCTAAATAAAGTTCACACAAATGCCGTCGGAATTCCTCCCCATTAAGGTCGGCACCGCCTCGGCTGTGTCAGTCGCTGGGCACCCAGCTGACATCTCAAAGTTATTCCGGTAGACATTAGAAGACAGAAAGTGTTTGACAAGTAAATGTCCTATGTATGAAATATCGCTGTAACAGATTCTCCCCCCTTTCACCAGCATGAACGTTGTATTGTCAGAACACAGTGGGGTTCATTTACTACAGGAGAATTGAAAGGGAACTTTGCTTAGTGAATGAGGTGAAGCTCTGCTGACTTCAACCATCCAATAAGGTGTAGGCAAAATCCTGTTTCTTTAGACTTCCTTTGCAAGTGATTGGCTATCCTTCAGAAAGGGGATTTTAACCACATTCACTAAGCTAGGTGAATATTCGCTTCCTAAGTGAAGATGTTCATCTGCTTTATTATATCAACCGCGGCAAAGTATTTACATTGTAACCCGAGAATTATCCCCAAGACTTACTTCTGTCCCGGCTGAGGGCGGACGGCTCCCCCGGGCTGGTCCTGCTCACGGGGGTCCCTGGCCTGGTTCATGGCGGCCAAGAGCATTCAGCAGCAGCAGCAAATCCCCCAGATCGCAGCAGTTCAGATCCACTCCACGGGCTGAGAGAGAAGGAGGGTGGGCTGTCAAAACAAACGTGATGGAGGAACCTGCTAACCCCTCCTAACTGTACTATAGGACCAGCCTTCCCTCTTAACCCCTCCTAAGCCTGGACATTTAAAGACCGGTCTCTGCTAACCATGCTACAAGACAAGCTTTATTAACCCCAATCCAGCAAAGTATTCTAACTGTACTACAACACCAGCCTCCCCTTCCCAACTGTACTACAAAACCAGCCACAACCTTCCCAACTGTACTACAACACCAACCTCCCCTTCCTAACTCTGCTACAAGATACCCAGCCCTTCTTAACCTCTCCCTGCCCAGATCAATGAAAGACCTCTTCAAACTCTGTCCCAAGGACAACCTCCTCAATTAACCTCTCCTGGACATCCAGAAAAGTTTCCTAACTGCACTGTAGGACTTGCTCCCCTTCTAAGTCTTTCCTAACCCCGATCAACCAAAGACATCTCCTGACTGTCCTATCTGATCCGAAGGCCAGCCTCCTTTCTTAAAGTGGAACTATGGGCAAAATCAAAACTAACAAATATGATGCAGTCTGCCCCTAGAATGATCACAGCAGTTTTTGTTTTTCGGAGTCCCCTTTGTAACATAGTTTTACTGCCTGGTCGCCCTGCCAGTAGATCTGTTACTTTTCTTTTCCTGTAAAAGAGTGACAACGCTGTTCGTTCTGCAAAATAAATTGCACAGCAGTGTTGTCACTCTGTGAACAAGGTAGTATTAGACGAACATGTTGTTTTAAAAGCTTTTTATGTAAGTGACAAACACATTGAAGTAGATCAGATATTTGTTTGCTTCCTTTAACAGGATGACAAAGCTGTCTGTTTTATAGTGTTGTCACGTTTTATACCATGTTTCATGTTACATCCATATTAAGGGAATAATATGACACATCCTCAAAACCAGACCACCCCCCTTACTTAAATAAAGGGGTGCATCTTATGGGAGAATTATGCCTTTTTTGATCATATAACGCAGCTGTGTGTGTGGCCTAACTCGGATATCCAAAACTTAAAAAAAAAAAAAATTGTTTATAGATACACTTTAATCTTTTCTAATCCTGATTATAAGCTGACCTGACCTAAAAAAAACAGCCACTCATCAACCTTCTTCCTAATTGTAGACATTCAGAGACCCCTCTTACCTGTACTGTACATTTCCCCTTTTAAGTTTAAAATAGAGTGGGGAGGGGGGTTAGAATCCCTGTCAGGTTTTTTTGCTATATGTGTAGGGAGATACACTCTCACAATTTGTCCTAATGACTGTTGTTACTGGGACTCAAAGTGAGGGGACAAAACTAAGGGGGTTATTCACAAACTTGCCGAAGGCAGCCGAGTGAATAACCCAGCCCAAGTGAAGTGAGCAGCACGCTGTTCGTCTAATTACTTCTGGCATCTACGGCTGATTTCAGCCCTACATTGGCTAAAATCAGCCGTACATCGGCTGCCTTCGGTCAGCCGAAGTGCAGAAGGACTTCAACTCAGCCGATCCAACATGTGGATCGGCTGAGCCGAAGCTCCGGCAGCTCACTCACTGCCGTTCGCCCCAATTCTCATAGGGGACAAAAGGCAGTGAGTGAATATTGCGGCATTCGGCTCAGCTATTCTGCTCGGTACCTCCTAGGTAATGAACAGAATAGAAAAGAAGTGTAAAGAATGTGAAAAAAAAAATTGCAAATTTTTTTTTAACATGTCTGCAGGGGTATGAATTGGGGGGAAAGATGAAACAAGACACATGAGGAAATGAATGGAGTGAGTTGGGGGG